ATGTTTTTCTCCCTGAGCCTGGCCTTCATAATTCCATTCCATCACAGGATGCCTCTGTTTGCCAGGGAAAATAAAGAATAATTAGCATAGCTCTTAACAACCCCATTCTACCTCTACTCTCTCCTTCATCCTTTCCTATCCCAATCTTTGTTTCTTTTTTTTTAATTTTAATTTTCCACCCCTATCTCATTACTTCTCTTCCTTCTAGATTTTTTCCAGTCTCCAGGCTCCTTCCAAACACTAATTTATCTCTGATCCTATTTCTGCGGCTGATAGCCTGCTTGGTTCATATAGAATCAAACATTTTGAACAGTTATTTAATACAGTTTATTAATTTCTGTTTGGCAAATAAATGCTTGAGTATTACAAAACTGTGGTGCTGTGTGGAATGTTAGTAAAACAGCCTTTTGCAACCTGATACCTTCCAGGTGGGTTAGATCTTCTAGAATTCTCAGCAAGGATAGCCTGAGGCTGAGAATTCTTGGAATTGCAACTCCCATGTCTTGCGAATGTGGACTGGGGAAAGCAGAGTTAAAATATGTAGTTTCAGTTAGATGAGAGAAGCCATGCTTATGGCCTTTTGAGAGTTCAGCTGAGGGCACTGGCACCAAGAATTTGGCCCTTGTTGAGCAGTGGAGCTAATTTTCTTCTTGCTCAACTGCCCAAAATCTCAAATGGCAAAACTTCCATTTTGCAGTTAAAGATGCTGAACCTTCTTGGAATCTTGGGGGTAGGCTAAATTCCTGTTGGCAGGAATTCCCACCAATCCTTGCTTCCCAGCTCCTTGTTTTACTTCCCAGATCACTGTTTTACAAATTTGGCAACTTTAAGATGTGTGGACTTAACTCCCAAAATTCCCCAGCCAGCATGCAAGCTGGGGAATTCTGGGAGTTGAAGTCTACACATCTTAAAGTTGCCAATTTTGAAAAACACTGCCTTAGACACAGCAGACAAGCCACCATTGTGTTGTGGTGCCCCTGCACAGATTTTGGGGCTTCTAGCTGGCCAGTGATAAGTCAGGATACAGAGGAGGGACATAGAGCACCAGTGGGGGGTTGGTTTTGGTATTTCCTCAGTGGCCCTGGAGGGAACACTGATTGATTGTAGAAAATGCTTGCAGTGCAGTGACTGTTTTGAAGATTAGCATGGGTTGCTCCAAAACTATATCTGAGGGTTTAGGGCAACAGTAGTGATATAGTTCTTTGACTTTAAGCATTGGCATCTGATAGGATTGTCCAGACTAAGAATGGTGAGCCTGGCCTTGTGGCATGGTGACTGCACAGTGACCCCTCTCGTCTTGTAGAGATGTCTCCTCCATATACTCTGATGCTGGACATGGAAGCCCGTGTTCATAGAGCTAGTGGTGAAGGCAGGGGTCAGCTGAATCATACGGGAGCTCTGTGGATATAAATGCATATAGTTAATGCAGCTAAAATGTTCCCGGTTACTAAGGGAATGATGTAGTTCCTTGGAAGTGCAGGCTGTGCTGATGCTCACATGGCTGTTGTGATAGCACTAATCTCTCTCTGTCTCTTTTTTTGCCATGGTTACTACTACTCAAAACCCCACAGGTCATTCAGCAGGCCTTGCATCGTCCCCCCAGCTCAGCTGCACAATACCTTCAACAGATGTATGCAGCTCAGCAGCAGCATCTAATGTTACAAACTGCAGCTTTACAACAGCAGCATTTGAGCAGTACTCAGTTCCAGAGTTTGGCCAGTGTTCCCCAGGTAAGACTGGGGTAGATTAGAAAATAAACGTCAGGGAACTGACCTTAATTCCTCCAATAATAATAATAATATAATGTTTTATTACCCCCCCCAACATTTGACTACAGTAGGTAAAGCAGAATGTAGTACCTACCAGTGGTGGAACTTCAATTGCCACTAGCTGCAACCAGCATAATCAGTAGCGAGGCATGCTGGAAGTTAGTTTGGCTATATTAAAAGTTTCCAAATTTCCTACTTCTGTTACAGATAAACAAGAAGATCATGATGATATATGGAAGGGGTAATTTTTTAAAAAGTAATATTTCAACCCAGCAAATTAATGATCTGTTGATACAATAATAATGAAAAAGAAATAACTTCCTGTCAAGGAACAGAAGACAGAACCAATTCAGTTTTCATTTTGAAACAATTTAATACCTCAAAATAATTAATTGTGAATATCTGATTATTTTAATCCCTTGAGCGATTGATACTGTCAGTTTCATTTCCTCTTAGTTCAGAATGTGCTCTGACATCATTTTTTTGTTTAATATCTTTTTATACTATTGCATATACAAAGATTTCTAAGCATCCAACAATGTTAAAAAAAAACAAAAAAATGAAACTGCCCTATTAAAATGCAGTTAAAAGTTAGAGCTCGCTGATTTTTATTTATATGGAGAATATAATCCCATTTTTCAATGCCTCAGCATTATTCAGGGGCAGCTCACAGTGCATCAAACAAGAATTTCTTATGAAACAAATAATAAGAGAGGCGCTAGTGTCATCCAAAGGGAGGGAGACAAATCAGGCAAGATGCCAGTCACTACATTGTGTTTGAAGGCCCTTTGTGTATGTGTGTGACATTGCTGCACATACAAAAGGGAGTTTAGACTGCAACATCACAACCACCATCTTGCCTGTTTTAACTCCCCTCTGTGGATATCACTGAAAGGCATACAAAGTAAATAAAGCACAATCCTCAGATAAAATATCTAATTATACTGATTTTTTTTAAAAAAATCCCTGATCCATAGCAGAAAAGCAGAGCTTTACAAGTCAGGTTGATGATAATATTTGTGCAACCACTGAGAAGGCCCTATCCCCTGTCAAAACCATCTGGTTCCACCTGAGTCGGCAACCTGGTATCAGAGGTTATTGGGGACCTTGGCCATTTAGGGCTGAAATAATAGTCACCCATTTTGAACTGCACCCTGCAACAGGCTGTCAACCAATGCAAATATTGCAAGATAAGCTAACACAATTTTATAGGCAAATATGTAGCCTTCTCCCTACTTCAAAAATCAGTCAGCTTTGGGAGAATCACCAAAATCTTTCATATTTTTCCTATTACGTGCAAATAACCGTTCTGAAAGGATGGGCTTTCCCACAACTAATAAGAACATCCAAATAATGACATCTCTATAGTTACTAAATTCAAAAAATAATAACAAGAATGGGGAGCCCTGCCTTTCAGTGCTTTTAATCAGTAACAGGTTTCCAGTGTATATTTCCATACTGATACTTTTATCATGAAACTCCTCTGTTGCAATTATATCTTAGATTAGAATTTAGTTGCTTCGATAATATGTAAGTAAATTTTACCATTTTAAATACATGGAACACTTTGGTACCTAGCTAGGGATAAGTGGGAGGAAAACAGATCACAACATTTTGAGGGATGAAGAAACATATATGTATCTTTCTGCAACATTTCTAAGGGTTTAGTCAGACTGGGAACAAATGGAGAATCAGGAACCTCAAAACAGATCACTGGGTTCTTTGCCTCCCCATTTTTCTGCTTTCGCCCAAGGTCCTGGTAAACAGGGATGTGTCACTTGAATTCGAGCTGCAAAATTGGACAACAAGATAGCCAACCTTGGGTGGCATGATTTTGTTTCTTTGTTTTAAAAAATAAGCCCCTGGGATGTAAACTGATCCATGTTCATTTTGAACACCTCCAATCCTCTTCTAGAATGTCCAAAATCATGCTACCAAAATGTGACTTTTTGCTGCCGAGCTTCAGTAGCATGAGGTCGGTCCATTTTTGGGGCTGGAAGTTTTGGAAAGGGGAGCAGTTTACCCTGCAGAGATTTACTTCTCCCGTTTCCACCCTTAAAGTCCAAGCAAAGGAAAAGGAAACCAAAAAAAGGAGGGGGGACAAAAATGGCTGCCACTATTCCAGTAACATCACCTGGTCAGTGGAAGGGAATTGCTATGGAATTCATTACTGGGTGGGTGGATTGTTAGCTCAGGATAATGTTTTATATACTATGACTCTTTAACTAAGCTTTCAAAAGAGACAGCAAGTTGACCATGGGATTAAAGAGAATGAAGGCCACCAATAAAAGTGACTATAGGTATCACGTGGCTCTTGAGCTGCCATTGAGTTTAGTGTGGATACACTCAATATTAGTGTACTTTTCACTGCAGTGCAAATGACTCATTTGACAGATGTGCTTGCTATTTAGGCAAATCTTTCAGGTGGGAGGCAATGTGCTTCTCCTAATGGCAGTGTCACTCAGCAGTCAAGCATGTCAGAAACCTCGGTAAGTGTCTAGTAAAATTGTCTAATTGTCTAGTAAAAGTATTTTTTTAATCTGTAAGGTGCCATGTTTATTCTCTACATTCAGTCACACTGTTTATGCAAAAGCTGGAGGAAGAAAAACTGGAATACTTGTCCCATTGAAGTCTCCATGCCTTTATACTGTTAATAGTAATACAAATGTTTAAACTTTCATTTGCCTTTGAAAAAGGTCCTGATTGAGCTGACATTAAATGCAAGAATAAAAGAGGTTCACATCTTTTGGGAAGATATTTATATATGGGATTTGCTAGATTTTTTGGAGAAAGTACTTATAATAGCAATTGGAACTTTGGGGAAAGACTCCACTAAGAGTGCTAACTTCAAATGCTGAGAGCATGCTGGGCTTATTTAAGCAACTTTTGGAATGTTATGTTGGCAGTATTGAAGAATATGTGACATTTACAATTTACCAAAAGTTGTTGGACTTTTACTGCAACCACAGCCTTTAAACTTTAGAACTGAACAGCGGTACTGGCTTCTGATCAAGTAACTTAGAAAAAAATTGGGCAAAGCTCACATAAAAATTTATGGCTGCTTAATTTCCATGTTTAAGCTTGGAAAACTGTCTTATTATTCGTTAGCAAATGTTAAAATGTAAGACGGTGTCCAGTCATCTTTTTGATCAGGAAAGACTTCTGGCTCAAATACAGTTTTGAAAGCTGAGACTCTTAACATTTTATCATACCCAAATTCTGCCCTACAGAGCACAATTTCGAAACAAAAACATTATTACACAGTGGACTGAATGTTACTTAGGCATCCGTTCTCATGTTTTTAGTAGAATTTACAACTGAATTGAATTGTAGGGTGTAACTAGATGTATGGGATACAGATAGTTAATAACAATATTTTTTTCTTCTCTAGATTAATCTCTCTGCTTCTCCTACACCTGCGCAGCTAATAAGCCGTTCACAGACCTCCAACGCTAGTAGCAGCAGTCTTACCCAGCAGACCATGCTATTAGGGAGCACTTCCCCTACTCTGACTGCCAGTCAGGCTCAGATGTATCTCCGAGCCCAGATGGTAAGTCTTACCAATTTAATTTTACCATTTTTGGCATTTTTGTCTTGTATTGTTTCTACGTATGGCTAATCACTGCATTTTGTAAGTGTTCTTTATTTATTGTTTAGAGAGATATGTAGTGCAAAACATTCATGCTTAATCAGAGTAAACAACTTTCAAGTTGCTATATATCTGAATTTCACTATAGTCAAGAATCTCTGATTCGCTGGGACAGCAAATAATGCATGTATGAGACCTAGTGCAATATAACTGTCAGGGCTAAAGACAGGAAAGATGATGGAGTGAATTTACAGTCCATCCACATTTATCTTGTGTGTGTTTTTGCTCATGTCCAGAGTCATTTATTAGAATCACAACCCATCACAGATTTGATGAATGTAACTCAAAATGAATGATGTTTTTACTCCAGATATGAAGATCTATCAGATCTATGGCTTGAGCAAAACTTTCTTAGCTTCATATATGATTTTGCAATAAGGGCTGGACATCTTGGAATTCTATATGAGTAATATATTCTCAGATTCAGAAGAATGTATTTAGCTTCCCTATGGAGAAAGGAGTCATAGAATGACTGGAGTATTTGAAAGGGAGAGGAATGAATTGCCTTATTAATTTTACCCAGACCCCACATATTATTACAAGTAAAACTCACTTTATTGAAATAATTGGGGGGAGGAGATATCCACTATTCCCCCAAATCCTATGAGCTGAACAATACATCATTGCAGCAAAGCAAATTATGCAAATTTATTTATTATTTATTTATTATATTTATATAGCCACCCATCTCACACAAGGGGACTCTGGGCAGCGTATAACAATTAAAAAAATAAATACATAAAAACAATTACACATAGAAAACTCTAAAAACATGATATCATTTGTACAGTGACATCATTAAACAAATGAGTGATATCATTATGCAAATCATAACATAAATCACAAAGGCATTTGTGTGTGGTATGCAAAGTCTATTGCATCAAGGTTCAGAAAGTGAAAGTTCACTGTTTGTGATAGTGATAGTATAAAATTTTATCAGTAGAACTAAAGTTGGACCTTTTCCTGAATATAATTCTTTGTTTTGTACTACATAGAATAAATGACATCTTAAATAGCATATTGAAATACTAGGATAAGTTCCATGATTGCTTAGTTCCAAATCCAGTGGGTAATGATTGTGAGAGTTTGATAGATGAATTTAAATTGCTTCCCGTGAATGTCTTTGATGTGCAAATTTCATGGGTAAAATACAGTAACGAGAAGACTCGACTTCCATTTTTCTTGCCTCTTTTTCTCTATTCCTCTTCCTCTTTCCTTCTCTAGTTCCCTCTCCTTTTATCTCTCATTGCAATATTTTCTGGAGCCCTTTGTAGTGCAGAGATAGGAGTTGAAATATGCTAATAATGCAAGAAGAGAGCTGTCTAATTCCTGCATTGCCAGCTACTGTGTTTCCCTCGACTTTTCAGATAGGAAACAAGGGATGAGAGAAGTCCGCTCCATTAGCAGTCACTACCTGAAACTGCTTTGGTGCCTGGTAGCAATTCTTGACAAAATACTCCTTTTTTGCTGCTATTGTGCTCTTTGTGTTTCCTTCCCCACCCCATATGCATCCACAGCTACCCGTAATGATGCCGCAGTGACAAAATGTGTGTTGTAACATCACAACACAAATTTCACTCTTTTGAGTTGCAAGGTCAAATATAAGTATGCAAGGTGTGGAGTTTGTGTTCCAATGTATGTTTTATCACTTGCTTCATTTGTCCCCCAGAGATACCTATCCCCCACTATCACACTATTGAGAAGATTGGGAATAGGAAGCAACTGCACTATTGTCTCAAACTACTCAAAAGTATCTTTTAACTTCAACTTTTGCAATTGCTATTGTGGATAGTTTAGACTCAGTGCATAAGCTGCACACTTTTGTCCATCTTTACTCATATCACTTTCTAAGGGACTATGAATTGTCTAAAATCTAGGTAACCTGTAATCAGTTTCATACTTTCTGGATTTATTGCTGCTGCTGCTGGACTAGTAGTCTTCTGCCTGCCGAATGGGGATTACCAGTTTCCTACACTCAGGAATTATTTTACACATACACACATATACACAAACATACTACATTTTATAAGCCAAGCCATGCTACTTGAATACATTCAGATTACATTCCCCTTTGTTCCTTTTGAATAGGTTGTATGCTGAGGTTAAAGAACCAGACTAGGATTTATATTTTGTTTCTTTACTAAAACTCAAAAAATCATCAATTTCTGTCTCTGAAATATTTACAGTTTGTTATACCCTATATTATAGAAGGGAAGGGGCAGGGAAGAGAGCATAGGAAAGGATGAGGAGGGAGGGAGGGAAAGTAGGAAAAATGAAACATTTCTTAAGATCTTCCTGAATCATTCCAGCTGGAAACAAATGTCTCTCCATCCATGGTTGATCTTCAGAGATGGGATTAGATGGAGCAGGAAAAGGTTAGTAGGAGAAAACCAGAGACAGAAGAAGGTGAAATAGCTGGATTGTCTTCCTTCCTTTCACAATGTCTTCTTTCTTTTTAAAGCTCAACGCTTCTTAGAGTGCAATGTCATCTCTTCTTTCTCTAATTGGTTCTTTCATCCCAGTTCTCCATATATAACAAAGAACCCTGATATCTTGTTTTTCTGACTTTCCATCTATCTGAACCCATGACAAATTAAAGTTTTCACAACCTGTCAGTCCTGAGAGGGACTGTGTGTCATTGTTTTTCCAACTACTTTCTAGTTGACTCTTTGTGGTTAGCTAAGAACATCAAGAGCTTGGGGTTCAAACTGTATTAGTTACCTGCAAGATCTGATTAGGGAGGGAGGGGAAGGAACTGAAACTATCTTGGTAAAGGGAGGAGGTCTTAGTTCTTGAAAATGAAGCTAAAGGTTAAGCTGTTTCGGTGTTTTTTCAGTCATGGTGTTACTGGCAAAAGCAGACCTCTGGCCTGGATACTGCCTTTTTTAATTTTTGGGAGAAGAAAGAACTACTATTTAAAGACAGTGCACTCAGTTTCCTTTTTTCTTGCCTTTTTTGAGAGGCAGAGCTTCAGGGAAGAGCCATGGAGGGGCATTAGTAGAAATTCCCCATTCATTATGTAGTGGCATCCTAGAATAATTCATTTGTCTGGGTGTATGGGGGGGGGGGAGGGTTCCATTGTAGCTTCTTTTGGGAGGAGAATCTGGTTTCAGGTTTGATGGATGGAAATCTTCATTCCTTCCAGCTAACTTCACTAACTTGCTTTCATACAGTTGACACTGAAAATCCCCTTTTATTTAAATATTATAGGCTTTAGTACAGATAATCATCTCTTATAATTGCCTGATATTCAATGTTAGGTAATTTGTAATGCTACTTTTTTAATCCAATATATGTTACAGTGGGAAATGTTTTTGGAGGAATGGTCTCTAGCCTTTGACCCCAAACAGTGGCATCTCTAAGTTTATAGTCTCTCATATGTGGCATGTTTGGAGAGGCATTTCCTATCTGTGTCTACCAGTAATGTTTTGGATAGGTATGGACAGAACCATCTGTGCCTCTTTTTATAGTTTTTGGATTGCTCTGTGGAAGATCCAGCTAGAGGTCTCAGGTGCCAAGAATTGCCCTGCAGTTCTCATTTTCTGAGCAAACAGCAACTTGTTGAGAACGTTTTTTTCCACCCCCAGCATATTGAAACAATTTCAGTTTTTCTGAGTTTTAGTACTGTGTCCTTTTTCCCTTACCACACCTACTGTTCACACATTTAAAATGTACATATTTGTTGCATTAACACATTTTATTTCTAATTTGGCCCTAGCTAGGTTTGGAATTCAAGATATTGAGGTATATACAAATCTAGGTTAAGATGAAGTGCTAACCTTTAAGGAAATTGATACTGGGTTTGGTGGAGTATTTAGCCTCAGATGAAATGAGGAAATTAAATTACATTTTAATGAAAAAAACATAGGGACAAAGCAATTTCCATGTTGTTTTCTTGGTAACAATATGGAAATGGTTTGATCTTACCTTCTTTTGGGAGATTTCTTTGATTTCCCACCCTAGTTCTCAACTCTGATATTTCCTAGTGGTATCTCAACCAAGTACTTACTTCTTCTGAGTTCAGCCAAGGTTGGCCAGATGTTTCCACCTATTTGACAGTTTCCTTTTTAGTTACTTTCAAATACCAATGAACGTAATTGGTAATGCACGTAATTAAATTGTTTTAGGGGAGGCCTCAGGTTGCAGACATCGTTGTTCAAAGAGATGAAATAGCTAAGCAACTCAAAAAGGCTGAACATTCTTTCTAAGATATTAGAAGAAATATTTGTAGGTCTTGTACTAAAGAAAAAGACACACCAATTTGTTTTCAAACTATATGTGTGCTTTGTGTGGCTTTCAATTTTCTTTTTCCTGCTTTCACAGCTGATTTTTACGCCTGCTACCACTGTGGCGGCTGTCCAGTCTGACATTCCTGTTGTGTCGTCATCATCTTCGTTTCCCTGTCAGTCTGCAGCTACTCAGGTGAGGTTGCGTGGATTGTGGGAGTGTGTGTCTACCTGTAACCCAGAACCATTGTGAAGAACTGAGATGCGACTCTACTCTTTGTGTTCATACGCATTGTTGTTTGTCAAATTATTATCGTATCAGTGCTTTTGTGTGTACAATCTCCCACAAAAAGCCAGAAGTTCCAAATGCTAAAGGGACATTAGACTCTTGAAAATGCACATATAGCTATTTACACTTTCTAGATATGTGTTCTTTTTTATCTGTTTTAACAATTTCTAGTGTGAAGTTTGTGTATTTTTATTTTCTAGGAGGTAACAAGATTGGTTTGTTTCTCTTTTTTTAACATGGAAAGTAGGATGATCATCCTCAAAGAACTGATGCATAAGGTCATATTTAGCTAGTTCATATTTAGGGAGAAAAACAACTTGGAAAGAAATGCGCCAATTATTATATAGAATACTTGCTTTAACTTTTAACACTAATTATTTAAGCACCCAGTTAATATTGTTAGTATTTCTGCAGAGACTATGATCCTAACCATATCTGTATAGTACACTTCCTTTAGTGTATTTTCCTGGTAATTTAATCATATAAAATTTAAAAGTGAGTTACAGTGGTATTATATATTGTCTTTTCCTTTCAAAAGTATTGTAGTGAAAAAAGAACTAAGGTGGTGTTCAGATTCTTAAGCTTTTTAAAATTCACCTTTGAGCAAATAAGACATGCATTTAAACACTAATGAAATAGATTGCATACGGTATAAGTATAATCTTTCAGAATAGCTCCCTTCAGGTTCCAGAGTTGAGGTAGAAGTAGTAGTTATGGATTTTTTAAAATAACCATTATTTAATAAAACACAATAAAGAGGGGGAAAATAAAATAATAGTGAAAGAAAATAAAACAAAGAAAAATCAGTACAGCAAGAGGGGGCGGGGAGGATTCACCTATATGTAACTATGTGTATGAAACTTTTCTCAACAGTTTCAGTGAAGGATGACCAGTGGAGTGACTAACTATATTAATTAGACTATATATATTAGTAAATATATTAGGATAACTATTTTCATAAAGCTGCTAAAGGTTAATTGACTTTGATTAATACACAGTAAAAATTGGGAATTCAAAAAAATGTTTAGCAAGTATAATGTTATCACCCGACTGAATTATTTGCTAGAGTTAATAATGAAAGGAAGGAAGAGAAAAGGAACTCTAATTCGATTTAAAGTAGAAGGGTGTTATCTGATGCCTTCTAAACAAAAACAGAAGTCAAAGATGATACCATCAGTATATCAACTGCTTTCATAACAATCCAATAAAAACATTTATTTTACTCTTGTAACTTATTTATAATATCTACATAAAAAATAATAAACAAATAAGTAACAGTTGACATTTGTATTTTTTTATTGGTGATTTTGCCCAGCCAGTGTGTGACAGCCTGTGGAATTTGATGAACTGTTGTCTATGGAAAATGAGCTGTATTGTTGTTCCATCCTATAATTAAGATGGCACTTTGCTGGGTGGAAGCAATGAGAGGGAGGTGTTGGTACTTGTCTACAGATTAGCAAGCAACCAGTCAAGTAGTCCGCTACGAGGCATGTTTCCCACAGCGGCATCAACCTGTTGTTTCTCGAAATACCTCATTACCTCCTGCAAAATATCCCCCACACTTGCACCCTTCTTGGCTGCTTTGTCAGCCAGTTGAGGAAGTTTCTTCAGCTCCTCATCATTCTCATTCATGAAAGTGAGATTGGGAACTTGGAAATGGGAGGCAGCCATCCACTGGAGGACAGCCTGGAGCTCTCTGTTCTGTGAGCTGGTGTTGGAACTCTGGTTGTTTACTATCACCTCAGAACCAGCAGGCACAAGTGGTTTTCCAATATTAGCCCGTGGAGGTTTCTGGGATGACATTGAATCTGGAGTTGTTACACCTTTGTTTCTTGCAGTAAAGTATGTGGCTTGATCATCGGAGTAATCTTCAACAACAAAATCAGGGCTTTTAGTCATGTACATACAGAGCTTCATCACAGATTCCATCAGCTGATCAATGAATTTCTTGTTTATTTGATCCATATTTTCAGAATCCACATCTGAACCACTCTGTTTGGGTGTGGGTTTTCTGGCAGATCTATCATCATACGAGTTTGCTTTGGAACTCTTGCTTATTTCACACTCATCTACATTGAAACCAGCCTCTTGTAGGACCTTCTGGATGATTGATAGAAGGGCACTTTGTATTTCTCCCCTCTGGTATTCTTGCTGTTGTTGATCACTCCTGGAACTATGAGATTTAGAACCATGTTTGCCTCCCTTTTCATAAAATCCAAATGAAGATGTATTTGACTCAGAAACGGGCTCTTTGTATTGAGTTAAGAGATGTTGCTGTATCAACATTAAAGCTGTCAAAATGAGGTCTTTTGCTAGAAACTCAGTTGTAGAGCTACTTTTATCTGGCCTCTTATCATGACATCCCCTTTCTGAGCCTTTGCCTCCTGTTCTTGATCTCAGCATGCTAATTCCATCCTTAATTATTGTTTCACCTACTTTTTGTGCTGATGTCTGTCCTGCTTCTTGCTTTACCTTTTCCCTCATATGCACCCCACCTTTCAAAGATGCAAAGTGCATATTTGGAGAATTGGGATCTAACGAACATCCTGTTTTCAATAAAGAGTATACAAGACTATGCCCTCTCTCCTTAGTTTCCGACGTCAAAGCATTATACATTCTTAATACCATTGCTTCTAAAATCTCAGTTGACTTCTGGGTTCCTGCATTGAAAAGATTTTTCTTCACTGTTGTAACAAAATCTGAGTCCGTCATGAGGACTCCAGTGACATTATGTAGATTTTTCATGGTAGAGTCAATTAAATCTGATATGACATCCTTTGTGTGTTTGAGAAACACTCTCTTCAGAATCACACAGGCTGGGAGTGGTTGCCTCTTGTGTATCTTGGTGGCATTCACAAATGAAAACGTCATATCCTTAGCATTTTTGTTTGCATATACCATTAGCCCTTTGTTAAAAGAACTATCATTGCGAGCTGACTGTTTCCTTGGATGTATCAAGTGGGCATGTGTTGATTTTCCATCTTCATCTGGTATTGATTCGCTTTGGTTGGAACACACCTCACCATAAAAAAGGGATGTTTTCTTGGGGAGTCCTTTACCCTCATCCTTCTTGTCTTTATTACTGGAATCCTGGGCATTTTCCATAATCTCATTCACCATCTTGGATGCAACCTTACTTACAGAACCAGAGGGATTTAGAGCTTTCCCATCTTTAGTGGCATAAATTGCCTGGCGTATACATTTGCTGGCAGCATCTTCCAAATTTTCAGAGATCTCTTTACTTGCCATTTGCATAACCAAAGTACACAGCTTTTGAACAGTGCTTGCTACTTCATCTGATGGTCCTTTCTGACCTTCAGAAGCCTTGAAAGCTGTATTGTTGTTATTCTGGGACATCTTGTCAGCTGCTGATGGCTTTTGTTGACGAGGGGCAGTTGAAGGGGACAATGCATGTTGAAATCCACATGCATATTTTTGCAGGTCATCAAAAAGCCAGGTCACAACATTAAGTTCTTCAGTTGAACCTTGTTTAAACAGACAAACTGCTCCTTCTGTCTTAGACTGTTCTGGTGTCTCACTATCTTTTATTACTATGACCTCTTTGTCCTGCATTTTCCCCAGATCAAGTCCTGTGACAGATTCACTGCCTTTAGACTGGCCAGCAGCATCTTTATCTGTATCATCTGTTTGTTTAATGTTCAGGCTGGAGACATCGACAAAACAAATCACTTTGCGGTCCTGGTCCTTTCCTGCATCAGGATTATAGAGATCTACCTTACACACACCTGCTTGGCTGTGTAACCAGTCAACTTCCTGAGACATCTTCTGAGGCTTGGAAGTGGAATTGTACCTAGGACTGTAAGGTTGTTCCTTATCAGCTGAACTGCTTTGATGACCCTGCCAGACTGAAGATGTTGCCTCCTCTCTCAACTTTCCATGCTCTTCTGCTGCCAGATGTCATTTTCACTTGTGTGCACACATAGTTTCTATGGCAGCAGTGACATCACAAAGAAGCATCTTGTCACCCTCTGGTAATATATTTTCAGCTACTTTTTCTCATTCACCTACCCCGTTTATGAGAAATTTGTCTTGATTAGAAAAAAACTAATGTTGCATTCATTAAAATAATAGTGGAAAATTAAGAGTAGTTAACTTATTTCTTGTCACCCTCTGGTAATATATTTTCAGCTACTTTTTCTCATTCACCTACCCCGTTTATGAGAAATTTGTCTTGATTAGAAAAAAACTAATGTTGCATTCATTAAAATAATAGTGGAAAATTAAGAGTAGTTAACTTATTTCTATACCACCTTCTATCAAATCTTACAGGACCTTTAATTATAATGTCTTTCTAAATATTGCTACAAAAGTAGTGTGACAAATTACATATAGTCGGCAAGCACTTACCTTCAGGGAATTCTTATGCTGTTCTCTGTGTGCGCAGCTACCATACCCATGGAAAAATCTGGTGGGGAAGGCCTGCCATCTTTAGCTGCAGATCTGCTTGCAGTTCAGTACTCCAGTGGGTAAGAGCTGGAAGCAAGCACTGAGTTGCATTTGGTGCAATGTGGACATGCAAGAAGCAATAAAACAGAGACAAGAAGATGTCTGTGGAAAAGTTTTTATACTCCTTATATGGCAGAAAAGCAGTTTAAGGCAGCTTGTCTAGTAGCCCTTAATAGATTTGGAAATTCACTGGTAGAGGATTTGCATTGCAAATAGAATGACCCAGCTTCATCTCAAGGTAGATATGGAAGAATTCTTGTTGGAAGACTTGGAGAACTTTTGTCAAATGATGCTAACACTACTGGAACAGTTTCTCATGTTTCTGTTATTTATTCTCCATAATCTATGTACATTGCATCTATATCTCTATTTCTGAACAACCTGGAACTGTTCCTCTGCTAATTGTTAAGCTCCCTGTAAGCATTCAGAGGTATGGAAAAGTCTATTGGTATGACATCTTGTGTTACTTTCTTTGGGGGGAAGCATGGAGCAGCCATTCAGGAGTAGCCACAATCAAGGTTCCAAGGGAGCCCCTGTCAATCAACCGGGAATAACAACTAGTTCTATTGGAGCCACAGAGGTGGGGAGAAAAGATTCCCAAGCATCTGACACAACCAACATAAGTTTATGGATAAAGGGAAATACGCACACACAGACTCAGTTCTCCCTCTTCGTATGTATGTGTGTGTGTATTGTACCGTAGAAAAATGACTGACAACAACAGAGTTCTGCAGCTACCTATTAAATGATAATAATATATGTTGTTTATTTAGAGAGAAGGCATGAATAATTTAAAAACAAACACCAAAATAAGCAGAAAGAGCATTGAAACTTCAGGAGGAGGAAGGATAGATGACATGATGGGTAAAAATGAGTGTGAGAGGGACTCCTTTTTCTCCAATATAATGTTTGAAATTTCAAATCTGATATGTCATTGCCTCAAGTTTCTCTTTTACTGTACATTAAATGAATTTTAGCATTTCAGAAATTTTAGCATTTCAGAAAACAATACTATACCACATACCTGGAAATAAGTCCCATAAAATTTGGAAATTTGGGGTGACAGCTTTCATCAGGTCAAGGAACATAGCTTTTAAATGGCATGGTGGGAGATGTACTTTAAAAGGGATAGTGCCAAACCAAAAAGAGAAATGAGAATGGGCAGAGAAAAGTAATGGAATTAAATATTCATGTTACATTTAATACATTTAAAATTTTCATGTGCACACACTTATCGTTCTCCAAATTCTCTTGCATCTCAATTGATTAAAATAAAACTATATCAGGAAAAAAAGAAAAAAAGAAAAATACACCATTGTCTCATTTGCAGAATATGGGAAAATGTCAAAGGCTGCATCTGAATGTTTGGCAGACTGAAAGTTGTGCAAGTTCACATCCATCCTCACCCATGAAAACTTTAGGGTGACTTTAGAGTGTTAGGGCCAGTCACTCGATCAGCCCAATGTGCCTCATGGTTGCTGTTGGGATAAAATGAAAGGAATCCCCATGGAAGCCACCTTGAACTCTTGAAAGAAATATAGGCAATATAACAAATCAGTACATAATGATCTAGAGGATTTCACTTTAGCTTTTGATTCTCCCTGAAGAATATCATGATAGTATTAATAACATTTGTGCCATTTTCTATAGCAGAAATTGGTGCTAGTAAAGCTTGACTTCTTAATGTGTGTTATTCTCTGAAGCCAGCACAGAAAATAATATTCTATACTGGGGGAGAATAGATGAGGATAATACATCTCGTTATGTGGAATTTGGGAAGGGAGTGTATGGAATCTAATTAAAGTTGGGGTGATTAGCGAATAATTTACTTGCTCTATCAAATCTGCCTATCTAGTCTTCTAGTTGCATCACCATCCAGCTTTGTCAGGCTGAGGAAATTAGAAGCTATACACAACATCTTTCTGTTGCAACATTTAGGGAAGAGGCTATAGAACTGGTAGTATACAGATAGGCTGCCTGAAACATATTGTTTCTTGAGAGATCAAAACTTATGTACAAATCTGTTTATTTGAATTTCTAGAATTATAAATCATGCTTTGACTTTGACTACCTTCAGCAACTGATATAAAGCTGCATGTAGCTTTGTAGCAAGTGAAGAATGTAGTGAGGTTTGTAACTGAACATGTACAGCCCTGCAAATGACATGTGACATCTTTTCAACCAAATTTTGATAGACTTAGCTCCCGATGTGTTGTGATTTATGCACCTAAATTTCCTACCCAATAATTTTATATATGGGCATCTGCAATGGAGGCAGGGAAGTGATAGGACACCTGTGACATCATGGTGGATTCTATCGGCCTGTGATGTCATCCCAAGGAGGGCAACAGGTTACAAAAATTGGGTCTGCTTTTAATTAAAGCATTTTTGACTTTTTGCAAGACATTTAAGTAGTAGCAATAAGAAGCCCAAAATGATGATGGAGGAGGAGGAGGAGGAATGTAAAATGTAAAAAAAAGTGGGGGAAATCATAATAGTTCAAATTTAATATAGGACTGAATGTAATGACCTTGCGATTCCATATTTTTAACAAGGCTTTCTTTCCTTTTCTTTGTAGTTTAACTGTACATCTCATCTACTCTGCTATTTTTCTTTTGATATTAATGGTTGTCCAATCAGCTGAATTCAGGGTATGCCTGACCTATGTAGTTAAAGATTGGGCCTGTCAATCTACCTAATATCTTTGGGTCTCTTTTATTTATGTTGATTTTGCAGAGAACAATAGAAATATTTCAAAAATAAATTTTCATGGTTTAAAATGCTATCAAAACACACTCACCTTTCAACAGATTTCAGCTAGCTTCTAGACATTTAAGATTTTTGGTTTAGCTTACCTCTTGGCCTAGGTACTAAGCCTAAATTATGGCCCACTTGGAGGCACAATTCCATGTAAAGTGTTCTTTAATTCTCCGAATAGTCTCTTTTCTTTTATGAAGGACAGATAAGCAATAATTTGTGTGAGAATGTTATATCACCTGGGAAGCCTGTCTTCTTCTTGAGTTATAATTTCTCGACCCTAATGAGTGACAAAAGAGGCTGCTTTTGTAGTATTTATAATAGCAGGCATTTTCCATTTCCAAAATCTCTCTGAAACCATTTATTCTAGCAAGGTTTAAGTGAATGGAGACAGGTTTGGATTGTTGTTTGTATGTGTGACAACTCTGTATAACAAATTTATACTCCTGTATCGGAACTTGGTTCATAGAAAAAGCTGCCTCAGAAAGAAAAGTACATATTAGTAGTGCCAATATGTTGGGAAGTGGTGTTGAAATCGTCGACAAGACTCTTCCACTTATAAGATTTTTTCATAAATCTGTTCTGCTTCCCTTTCCAGCCTGCAGATTCTTCCTTGCATCATAGCATCCAATATTGTAAATTATGTTTCTGATTTGATACTTCCTCTGCTTTCTTGGTAGAGCACTCGTACTGCATCATTAACTTTAGGTTACTGTAAGCCTTGGGTTAGCTTCAGCAGAGCCTATGTTGAAAGATATACTGATAGGCCCAGAGGACGATCTATGTGAAAAACCCTCTAGGAGTTTTTAAATATATAGATAGTTGCATGACCATTTGCTCATTACTTGTTTGCTGAATTTCTATTCAGTACTACCTCCCCTATAATCACATCTCAAAGCATTTACAATAACTAGGTGTAAAGCTGGAAAGATCAAGGGAAATAAGAGGCTAAGTCCAAGTTCACATTTTCTTTAAGATCAAGGCACAATTTTGCCCATGTTCATCCAATACAGGGCCTGGGTACATTTTATATAGATATTGCAGAACCAGAAAAGAAGTTGTGCCTTGTCAAATTGTGCTTTTAAGTTAAAGAAACAAAAACCAGTGTCCCAAATAAAAGTGTATATAAAGGAAAGGGGAGAGATACCTGCAAGTTCTACTTATTGTTTGTATTGAAAAGTCTGCATTTTCATAGAATCATGGAGTTGGAAGGGGTCATTCAGGCTATCATGACTACCCCCAAGTCAGTATAGTAATCCAGATTAAAGAATTCCTGACAGATGGTTCTCCAGCCTCCCCTTTGATGCCTTTGGAGAAGTGTTTAGCTGTTACCTAGGTAATTGGTATTACTGTAAAATTCCTCTCACTGTTCGGAAGCGTTTCCTTACAATCAGATAGAATCTGTCTTTCTTTAGCATTCTGTGTCCTGCTTCCTGGGATGAGAGAAAACAAGCTGTGGCTTTGTTCTGTTATTCATTCTGCCAGGTACTTTAAGTATCATGAAGATGCTTCTATAATTGTGAAATTACTAAAACAAATGTCATTATAGAGTCTCGGTCTTTCCTCTTTCCAGAGTTTTTCTATATAAACATTGAAAGAGATGCTTAGATCAGTCGGCCAGACTGGGTGAATTTACAAAACAAACACTTTTTTCCCCTATAAGTGTTAAACTCTTCCAACTGGTAATGTTTTCTGTGTTTTCTCTTCATTACAAGAAATAATTAGGGTGTAGGTCCGCTGTTAACTGTATTAGCCCAAATGCAAAATTCGTGTTAAGAATGTTAGAAAAATTTCAGATTACTTTGTTCAGATTTAGCCTTAAAATAGTGCTAGTCACAGTGAGCATATGGTAGATACTCAT